TATATATATATATATATATATATATATATACATTCATATATGTAAATATATACGTAAATATATGTACGTATTGTATATATACGTATACATATGTATATAAATAAATATATAAATATATAAATATATATATAACTAATTATATATTATATACAAAATATGCATACATAATATACATTATACACTATACGTATATTATTCTATTATTATATGTATTACGTATATGTATATGTATATGTATATGTATATGTATATGTACATGTATATGTATATGTATATGTATATGTATATGTATATGTATATGTATATGTATATGTATATGTATATGTATATATGTATATAGCTACACAGCCAGCTAGCTAGCTAGCTAGCTAGCTAGCCACCTAAATAAATAAAATAAATAAATAAATAAAATAAATAAATAAATAAAATAAATAAATAAATAAATAAATAAATAAATAAATAAATACTTACATTTAAGATTATTAGCTAGGGTTTGTATACTCCTATAAATAGACCCTGAATGTTCTCTTAGTAATGCACCACCAGCAAGTAGCATTAGTCCTGCTCCTGCTGCAGCCCTGCAGCAGCAGCAGCAGCAGCAGCAGCAGCAGAAGCAACAGCAAACAGCAGCAACAGCACGCAGCAGCAGCAAGCAGACAAGAGACAGGAAAAAGAAAAAAATTAAAAAAAAAAAAAATGACTATATATATACCTATCTATACTAGGGTTTAGGGTTTAGGGTTTAGGGTTTAGGGTTTATACGTACATAAGACGTCGGGGTTTAGGTCCAGGAGTATCATCAATAGGAATATCTATAGGTTGTATCTCTCCTGCTGCTGCTGCTGCTTCTGCTGCTGCTACTTCCTCTGCTGCTGCTGCTGCTGCTGCTGGATCTGTCTCTTTTGCTTCCTTTAATATTTTATTTAATTCTTTTACTATTTCTTCGTCACTCTCTATTCTTGCTGCTGCTGCTGCTGCTCCTGCTGCACCTCCTGCTGCTACTGCTGCAGCAGCAGCAGCAGCAGGAGATGCTGCTCCTAATTGTGTCTCTACTGCACCTACATCTGTCTCTGGTGCAGGATCATAGAACTCTAGTTCTTGCTGCTGCTGCTGCAGTTGTGCTGCTTCTGCTGCTGCTGCTGCTTCTGCTGCTGCTGCTGCTGCTGCTGCTGCTCCATCTACTGTTGCATCTGCTGCTGCTGCTGCTGCTGCAGTTAACGAAGCAGAAAGGAGACAAAAGAAAAGGAGACACCTAGGCGCCCTTGTGGCGCCTGCTGCTGCTTGCTTCATTTGCTGCAGCAAATTGACACAAGAAGTTGTGGTGCTGCTGCAACTGCTGCTGCTGCTGCTGCTGTTGCTGCTGCTGCTGCTGCTGTTGCTGCTGCTGCTGTGGCAGTCAAGGTATATTGACACGGGAGGAGGAGAGCCGCCTCTAGGCGGCAGCAGCAAGCAGCAGCATGAAGAATATATTTGCTGCTTGCTGCTGCAGCAAAGAGACACAAAAGCAAGATAGTTAGGTTTGCTGCTGCTGCCGATCACAAACCCTAAACCCTAAACCCTAAACCCTAGAGAGCGACGGGAGTTCTTGGCAGCAAAGGGTCCCTATCCTCTCTGGTTATAAACCCTCAACAAACCACCAAACTTAATCTGCTGCTGCTGTTGTTGCTGCTGTTGCTGTTACTGCTGCTGCTGTTGCTGCTGTTGCTGCTGCTGCTGCTGCTGCTGCTGCAACAAGAGCAGGACTTTTGCTGCTGCTCCCTCTGCGGAGGCTACTGCGAGGGTTTACGAGGGTTTATTAATGCCAAGGAGCAGTATAAGAAGGAGTTATATAATAAAATAAACAAAAAAACCCTAAACCCTAAACCCTTAAATACTTTTTATCTGCAACAAAGAAGGGAAGCAAACCCCAACTATATGTACGAAGGAGCGGAGCCCTAGCAGCAGCAGCAGCAGCAGCAGCAGCAGCAGCAGCAGCAACAGCAGCAGCAGCAGCAGTAGCAACAACAACCAGCCCCAGCTGCTGCTGCTGCTGCTGCTCCTATTTATTCCTTCTTTTCTTGTATTTGTTTATGAGTAAATAAACCCTTTTTCTTTTTATTTATTATAAATTAGGGTTTATAAAACAAAGAAACCCTAAAAAAGGGTTTAGTATACCCAAACCCTACATACCCCCCTGGGGAGCGGGACACATATATATAATATACTGCTGCTGCAGCTGCTGCTTCTGCTGCTGCTGCTGCTGCTGCTGCTGCTGCTGCTGCAGCAATGTTATTCCTATCAAGAGCCGCAAGGATTAATCTGCCTTTGCCGCAGTTTACAAGGGATCGCTTCTTGAGGCGTGTAAGGACTCTAAACCCTAAACCCTAAACCCTAAACCCTAGACTCAAACCCTACGTCTAGGTAAACCCTTCTCATTAGAGAGAGAGAGACACACACACAGGGAGAGAGGGAGGAGACAAGAGGAGACAGCTTGTTGCTCTATGTAGGAGGATCGAAGGAAGAACAGCCAAGACCCTAGGGTTTAAGGTTTAGGGTTTAGGGTTTAGGGTTTAGGGTTTAGGGTTTAGGGTTTGTTGTGATTGTATGCAGCCCAATATGTTAGAGGCAGATAGAGCAAGACTTTACTATTGGAATCTTTTTAGTATTTTTGCTACGGGTCTCCCTATATGGTATATGATGACTGTAAGTCTAGGGTTTAGGGTTTAGGGTTTAGGGTTTAGGGTTTAGGGTTTAGTGTGTATGTATATAGTGTGCTTGTTGTTATGCTTATATGTATCTGTTTGTTACTTAGTATTGTTTATAAGCAACGTAGAGACACAGCAACAAACCCTTTCCTTCTAGTGTTTACGCTATCCTTTCTTCTCTAGGGTTTAGGGTTTAGGGTTTAGGGTTTAGGGTTTGTGGTGTAGGTGAACTATCGTTTCTGTGAGGAGTCTATGATGTTATCTGAATCTATGGGATCAACAAACCCTAAGACTACAGATTTGGGGCTTTTTTTCCCTCATAAACTTGCCAAGTAAGTGCATGCATGCATGCATGCATGCATGCAGGTAGTATCTGCATGCATTGGCAGAGTTTGGGGCTTTAGAGGATATTTTGGGGCTTTTTGAGACGCAGCGGGAATGCTTTGATAGGCAATCCTCAACGCATGCATTCATGCATGCATGCATGCAGATAATGCATGCATGCATGCAGATAATATATACATGCAAATAATGCATGCATGCATGCATGGAGATAATGCATGCGTGCATGCAGATCATGCATGCATTCAGATAATGCATGCACGAATTGATCTGTGCATGCATGCATGCATGCCTGCATGCATGCATGCAGGAATTGTAAAGAGGTAGCCAAGGGGGCTATTAGTGTGTACACCTTGCTGCTCGCCATTAGCGGCGGTGACTTGCAGTGTATGTACAGCTCGCTGCCCTACAGACCCTAATTAGGGTTTAGGGTTTAGCTTGATGGACTAATTTGCTCTATAAAGTTTATTATTGTGGTGTATATACACAAGAGAAAAGGATTAACGTAAACCCTAATGTAAACCCTGATATCTAGCATAAACCCTAATATCTAATTATATCTTGCTGCGGCGTCTGTAGAGGGTTTAGGTAGGGTCGCTGAAGGTTTAGGGTTTAGGGTTTAGGGTTTAGCGATAGTTGCATGGTGTTTGTCTATACAAGGGTTTAGGGTTTGGCTATAGATACACAAACCCTAGGGTTTATATCTATGTAGGGTTTGATTGACAAAACGAGGGTTTACGACAAAACAAGGGTTTTGTCAATCTAAGGGTTTAATACATTCAAACTAGCTAGGGTTTAGGGTTTAGGGTTAGGGTTTAGGATTTATGCCCATAAGGAGGAAAAAGGAGATATATACATCAAACTCTCTCCTTTTTCTTTATTTAAATATATTTATATTTATTTATTTATTTATTTATATTTATTTATTTATTTATTTATTTAATTCTTTATTCCCTCCTTCTCTATAAGACCATCTACCCCTTGCTCAATTAAACAAAAAACATTCGAGTGGCGTCCTTCGTAGTATCTGCACACAACCACCACAAACCCTAAACCCTAAACCCTAAACCCTCAAAAAGGTTATAACATTGAAGTGTATGCAAACACTAGAGAGCATATTCTTAGGAGTGTATCAAGGGTTTACGGAGAAATTAGGGTTTACTAAGGTCTTAATAGGGCACATGAGGGTTACTTAGGGTTTAGCGATTATTAGGGTTTAGGGTTTAGGGTTTAGGGTTTATATACGGATCAGGCACTTCCTCTATACCACAAGAAGGAGCATAATCCGTTAATAAATGTGTTAATGGATACATTTAGTGTTATTAGGGTTTAGGGTTTAGGGTTTAGGGTTTAGGGTTTATATACGGATCAGGTACTTCCTCTATGCCACAAGAAGGAGCATAATCCCTTAATAAAAGTTTTAATTTATGTCTTTTATTAGGAGGGCAAATGTTTGTTAAATTACGAAGATTGGATTTATCCATTGCTACTATTAAATCAAAATCCTCAAAATCTGAAAAAAAAAAAAACCCTAAACCCTAAACCCTAAACCCTAAACCCTAAACCCTAGGAAAAAATAAAAATACAGAAAAAACCTAAAATACACAACAATATCAGGAATTATACAAACAATTACCCATAAACAAGAATAAATACTACTACAAACACTACAAACCCTGAATTTTCTAAACGCTTACTTTTGAATATACCCTAAACCCTAAACCCTAGACCCTAAACCCTAAACCCTAAACCCTAGAGCATACCTGAGGATCTAACTTGTCTAGCTCTATGAGGTGTAAGATCAACTCCTCTTTTTCTTGCTGCAGCAATCATCTCCGTCATTGCTGGATCTCCTTCTGTATGTCCTCCTGTTGCTGCAGAAGCAACAATTAACCCTTGGGGGCCCCCTGCAGGGGGGCCCCTAGAAGAGGGGCCCCCTGCAGGTAGATTCATCTTACTACGGAAAATATACTCCGCTGTAGGGGATCTATTTACATTCCCCAAGCATACAAATAACACAGATCGCACCATTGTAAACCCTAAACCCTAAACCCTAAACCCTAATTTGTAGGGAAACCCCCTAAAATAGTATTTGGGGAAACGAAAGAAAATCCGTCAGATGTCTAAATAATTAAAAAGAAAGAAAATAAATGTATACAGACAAACAAGAGCATAAACCCTAAACCCTAAACCCTCAAGACTCCCCACGGAGCAACAGACTGGTGGGGCCCCCCCACTGGGGCCCCCGTCGGCGCAACCGGTTCGATGGAGCAAAACCCTAAACCCTAAACCGTACTAAACCCTAAACCCTCGACGTCGGGTTTTTTTTTATTTAATTAGTGTTTTTCTTCCTTGATTAGTCTTATTGCGTTGGTAGTTGTTAAGGGTTTGTTTCTTTTGTCCACAGAACGAACCCGCATTGCTTGTAAACCCTAAACCCTAAACCCTAAACTGTAGGAAGGGTAAACCCTAAACCCTAAACTCTAAACCCTAACGAGGATGTCGTCGGATGAGGAATCTTTGCTGCAGCTTCTCCGGTGTCTAGACAGCTTATTTGCTGCAGGTACAGTACCCAGTACCCTGTTGCTGCTGCAGGAGAACCCTCAATGGGGGCCCCATGAGAAGATAACAGGACTATGTAGGGCCCTACAAGCAATTGAATATATTGTATTAACACTAAAAGAGAAAACCCTTTTTATTCTTACACAAGAAGGAGAAGAATATGCAGAAAAAGGAACACCAGAGGCTAATCTTGTAAAATGGATGCAAGAAAACCCTAATGTATGCAAACCCTAAACCCTAAACCCTAAACCCTAATTCGATTAAACACCAACCTTAAACCCTAAACCCTAAACCATTATCTTTCGAAACACCCACCTAAACCCTAAACCCTAAACCCTGCAATATCCCAACCTAAGCCCAAAACCCTAATCTTGCGAACCCCCAACCTAAACCCTAAACCCTAATCCTCCCCTTTACAGCCCATCAATCCAATCCTCTCCTTTCCCCGTACTTCTCCACAACCACCAGCAGCAGCAGCAGCAGCAGCAGCAGCAGCAGCAGCAGGAGGAGGAAGTGTTTGCTGTTTATTTGTGTGTTATTTATTAGGAAGAGGGTTATGAATTAAATGACCTAAAAAAAAAATTAGGGTTTAGGGTTGAATTAGGGTTTACGAATGCATTAAAGATGAATTGGTGTATAATAGATAAAAATACAAAAAAAATAAAGATAAACCCTAATTATATAAACCCTAATAATATAAACCCTAATAATAATAATAATAATAATAATAATAATAATAATAATAATATAATAAAAGATATAATAAAAGATACACTGCATGCAATAAAAGATTGGGGCTTTTTATATAACAACAAAGAAGAAAATAAAGAAAAAGAACTTATGCAAACCCTAGCTAATATTAATAATACACAAACACCAGAAAAAATTATACAGGTATTATTTATATCTGCTGCTGCTGCTGCTCCTGTTGCTGCTGCTGTTGCTGTTGCTACTGCTGTTGCTGTTGCTGTTGCTGTTGCTGCTGCTGCTGTTGCTGCTGATTGTTTTGATGGTTATAATGATGCTTTTGTTGCTGCTTATGTTGCTGCTCGTGAAGTTGCTGCTGCTGCTGCTGTTGTTGCTGCTGATGCTGCTGCTGTTGCTGCTGCTGCTGCTGCTGCTGTTACTTATAGTTATATTGCATTTATTTATTTATTTATTTATTTATTTATATAAACTAGGACCTAAAAAGGAGAAAATTAATAGAGCAACGTAAGATAAAATATAATATAATAAAAAAAGGGAATAAATTTTCTTTATTTATATCTAAACCCTTAGCAGATATAGATGCTAAATTAATTGCTAATGATCAATGGAAAGAAAAAGGTAAATTCTTATACCCAAGGGTTTAGGGTTTGGAGGGTTTGTAGGGTTTGTAGGGTTTGTAGGGTTTAGGGTTTAGGGTTTAGGGTTTGTAGGGTTTAGGGTTTAGGGTTTAGGGTTTAGGGTTTGTAGGGTTTAGGGTTTAGGGTTTAGTTCTGATTGTTTTTTTTTTTGCCGAGCTCGTCTTATGGAATAGGGATTATTGCTTCCTCTTTATAAACCCTTGAACTTTAGACTTTAGGGTTTAGGGTTTAGGGTTCAGGGTTTAGGGTTTGTGTGTATATGTGTGTATAGAGCTTAAACCCTACAATTTTTTTGCTAGTGGCAAAAGATTAAGACGGGGGGCCCCACACCCTCTTATGCTTGTACAGAAACAATTTAAGCATATATTAACTACTATGGGTTTCGAGGTAGGGTTTAGGGTTTAGGGTTTAGGGTTTAGGGTTTAGGATTGGGGAGGACACCTGTGGGTCTACGGGGGTCCTTCTGGTCCTCTCTGCAGCAGCTACAACAACAACAACAACAGCAGCAGCAACAGCAACAGCAACAGCAGATAGCTGCATGCATGCATGCATGCATGCATGCATGCATGGATGTGTTGGTGCTGCAGGAGATGGATACGAATCAATATGTAGATCCTTCCTTTTGGTGTTTTGATGCCCTTTATATGCCACAACAACATCCAGCAAGAGATGCACAAGATACTTTCTTTATTCAGGTAGGGTTTAGGGTTTAGGGTTTAGGGTTTGTGTATTTAACAGGGTTATGTTAACGAATATATTTGGGTTTCGGTTGAACTCAGAAATTAGGGTTTAGGGTTTAGGGTTTTTCTAGGGTTTAGGGTTTAGGGTTTAGGGTTTAGGGTTTGGAGTGTGTCTCAGAACCCAGAGAACGCAAATGCGTCTTTATTGCCTCAACAATTTGTTTCTGCTGTTAAACAAATGCATGAAAAAGGCGGTTGTGGATCTACAGGATGGGGATATACCTGGTAAGGGTTTAGGGTTTAGGGTTTAGGGTTTAGGGTTGCATGCATGCGTTCTTATTTAACCCTTTAGGGCTGCATGCACCATGAAACCTCTTTATAGCGCATGCACGCATCCATGCATGCATGCATAGCTGCATTCATGCATGCATGCATGCATGCATGCATGCTCTATTTTGGGGCTTTTTTTTAGGTCCCTGGAGGAATCTCTGAAGAATGTGATGAGGACACACACAACTTCTGTATCTGCTCGTTGTCTATATCAGATAGCTCAAGAATACAAAAAGGTTTGTTGCTGCTGCTGCTGCTGCTGCTGCTGCTGTTGCTGCTGCTGTTGCTGCTGTCCTTGTGGGGGCCTCGAGCCTGTATCAGTCCGATTCCCTGGTGTTTCTTAGAGTCCGTTGTAACACAAATAAACATCCAAATTTAGGTTTTAGGGTTTTTCTAGGGTTTAGGGTTTAGGGTTTTTCTAGGGTTTAGGGTTTAGGGTTTAGGGTTTAGGGTTTGTGCTGCAGACAGGACAATTTCGTCCTCGTAAACTTTTTTCGATCGATCGCGTCTTTCGTAATGAGAATTTAGATGCAACACATTTGGCAGAATTCCATCAGGTAAGGAGAAGCCTAAACCCTAAACCCTAAACCCTAGCTAAACCCTAAACCCTACGTAAACCCTAATTAAGTAATCTTTGCTAAACCCTAAACCCTACGGTATTAGGATCCAAGGGGTGGTAAATAAATGTAGAAGAAAGGATGAAATATATTTAGACGATCTGCATGCATGCATGCATACCTTCCTGCATGCATGCATGCATGCATGCATGCATATGCATAAAGAATTATATATATAATAAGGGTTTTTTTATATATTGGGGTGTATATGCAGGTAGAGGGAGTTGTTGCAGGTACAAACCTCTCTTTAGGTCATTTAATGGGTGTTATGGAGACTTTTTATAAGGCTATTGGTATTCAGCAACTTAAGTATGTCTAGGGTTTAGGGTTTAGGGTTTAGGGTTTAGGGTTTACACTTAGCGGTTTTAGTGACGAGGGTTAAAAATTAGGGTTTGGATACTCCCCCTAGGGTTTAGGGTTTAGGGTTTGTATACAGATTTAAACCTACCTTCAATCCATACACCGAACCCTCCATGGAGATATTCGGGTTTCATCCCGGTCTTAAACGGTGAGCTAGGGTTTAGGGTTTAGGGTTTAGGGTTTAGGGTTTGGAGTAAAATAATGAATAATATATATTTTTTAATATAAAAAAAGCAGGATAACTCCCTACTTACCTACCTCCCCTATTAATTAATTAATTAATTAATTAATTTATTTATTTATTTATTTATTTATTTATTTATAGATGGATAGAGGTAGGAAATAGTGGTATATTTAGACCAGAGATGACTAGACCAATGGATCTTCCTTCTTCTGTCTCTGTTATTGCTTGGGGTTTATCTCTTGAACGGTAAGAAACATAATATAAATAAATAAATAAATAAATAAATAAATAAATAAATAAATAAATAAATAAATAAATAGATTAATTAATAAATAATTAATTAATTAAATATATAATTTATTTTCTTTTATTTATTATGTTTTTATTATTATTTATGTTAGATATTTTATTTATATAAATGAATTAAAAGGAGACTATTTATTTATTTATTTATTTATTTATTTATTAATTTATTTATTTATTTATTAGTACTTTTATTTTATTGTCTCCTTTTATATTTATATGTGTCCCTTTTTATCTCCTTTTATCTCCTCTTCTTTCTTCCTTTTTCTTTCTTGTCTGTGCATGCAGCCCCACCATGATTAAGTACGGCATAAGTAATATAAGAGAACTCTTTGGTCCTAAGGCACTCCTAGGGGGTGTATAAGGGACTAAGGGGGCCCCCTGTTAATGGGGGCCCACTGGGGGCCCCCCTCCTCACAGGCTGGGGGCCCCGTAGGGGTCCCCCTAGGGGCCCCCCGCTGCTGCCTCTTATATCTCTATTATATGTTGAGGTAGCAGCAAGTAGCATTTAAATATTTGCATGCAGCCCCTGGGGGCCCCCATGGTGCATGCAATGTGTGTTGGGTACCAACGGGGGCCCCCCAAGGGGGCCCCTTAGGGTGTCGCTAAGGGCCCCATTGTTTCTGTTGGTTTTTCTGTTGCCCTAAGAGGGCAAACAGAGACATAAAAAGTTTTCTTTTCTGTTGCTTTGGCTAAACCCTTATCTAGGGTTTAGGGTTTAGGGTTAGGGATTAGGGTTTAGGGTTAGGGTTTAGGGTTTAGTTATGCTGCCTTAGAGAGACTTCAAAGCGCACTAGTAAGAAGGTTATTATAGGGGCCCCTATTATACGCCAATAGGGGCCCCCTGAGCTTTCTCCTCAGGGGGGCCCCTAAGGTGTCTGTCTACTGGGTTGGGGGGGCCCTTGGGGGCCCCCATAGCTAGTGTCTCTGGGGCTGATGTCTGCATGCAGCAGCACAGGATACCTCTTTAGGGGCCCCCAGATGTAAGAAAAAAGAAACGGGGGGGCCCCTTGGGCCCCTCATGAGGGTATTTGGGGGGCCCCTTGGGCCCCTGAGGGTATTTGGGGGGCCCCTTGGGCCCCTTTTAAAGGTATAAGGGGGCCCCTTGGGCCCCTTATGAGGTAATAGGGTCCCCTAGGGGCCCCTAGGGTCCCCCTAGAACACTGTTGTAGGTCTGTACAATACAGTAGGGGCCCCTCCACTAAACCCCAGGGCCCCCCTAGAACCCTCCCTGGGCCCCCATGGGGCCCTAGAGGGTACAGAAAGGGCCCCCAGTACCCTCTAAAAGGCAACTAAAGGTATATTACCTATAGGGGCCCCCTCAGGGGGCCCCTATAGGTAATATAATTAATGCTGTAATAGGGCCTCTTTTGTATTATATAATAAAGAAAGGGTACAATTAATTTTATTATTAATATGTTTATATATATTAATCATTGTATTTATATCCTCCTTATTAGGGTCCCTATTTAGGGCCCCATAGGTGACTATACACCCCAATTGTTTATTTATTCTTCCTTTTATTATATTTATACGTATACTTTTTATTAATAAATACTCTATATCTTTATTATCTAGATACTCTTTTCTTGCTGCTGCTGCTGCTGATGCAGCAGCAGCACACTCCGCTGCTGCTGCTAATGACTCCGCTGCAGCTATTGCAGCAGCACCAGTACCTGCTGCTGCTGGTCCTCCTGCTGCTGCTGCTGCTGCTGCTGCTGCTGTAGGGCCCCCGAGGGGACTGCTAGATTGCTGCACGCCATAGTCAATTGGTGCAGATCCTTGTAGGGGGGCCCCCTCTGTTGTACCCTGTGGAGGCCCCTCTGTATTGCTGCAGCAGCCGGGGGCCCCCAACTCCTCCTGCAGGTCCTTGAAGGAGACAGAAGAGGAGACAGATGCTAAGGAGACAATTGTTAATAGCCGCAGTTTCTCTAGCAGCAAATAGGGTACAGGGGCCCCCCTTAGGGGGCCCCTCATGGCCTTAACAAGGTCCTTAACTGTACCCGATGCCATTAGACGCAGCAGGAATAGAGCACGCGGGCCCCCCTCTAAACAGGCAGATGGCCCCTCGGTACTTGAAGGGGCCCTCTCAATGCCTGCAGGGGCCCTCTCAACTCCTGCAGGGGCCCCCTCTATACATGCAGAGGGGCCCCCTAACTGCTGCACATTTTCTAAGGCTAATAGCTCACCATATACAAAGACATCAGGATGCAGCAATGCCTCCTCTATTACCTGCAGCAATTGGGGCCCCCTTGCTACCCTTGCACGGGCAACAAAGGCATCTAGGGGGCCCCTAGGGGGCCCCAAACAAGGGGAGGAACCCCCGGCTGGGGGGCCCACAATGGGGCCCCCTGAGGGGCCCCCCTCCGGGGAGGCCTTTAAGGGGGCCTCCTTATAACCAGGGAACATGCAGGGGAAAGGTTCAAAAAGAAGGAGAAGGACGGTAGAAGGTTGCTGCTGCTGCTGCTGCTGCAGCTGCTGCTGCAGAAGGGGCCCCCGTAAGTAGGCTCCCCCCTAGTACCCACACAAGGAGGAAGGGTATGGAGGCAGCAGCTAAATATAAAAGAAATAAAAAGTAAAGAAAAAACAAGAGAAAGAGTAAGTGAACAATGTGGGGGCCCCCTGCTGCTGCAGAGCAGCAAAGAGTGTTGAGAAAGGGGGCCCCCTTGCTGCTGCTGCTGGCTACGCTCTGCTGTCGCTGGTGGTTAGTTGCTGTGCTTGCTGCTGCTGTTGTCTGCTGCTTATAAAGGGGAAATATAGATAAAAATGAGTTAATTAATTATATTAATAAAAGAAAAAAGGAAGAAAAAAGGAGAGGGAGGTGCCTATACACCCCAAATATGCCACAGCGCAGCAGCAGGAACAGGCTGCTGTTGACTGCAGCAGCTAATCTGCTGTGTCTTGCTGCTCTTTTAGTGTATTTTTAGTGTATTTAACGCAATAAAAGGATATTATTTATTAATTAAATTAATAATATTAATTATTTTATTTAGTTATAAGAAAAAAGAGGAAAAAACACCGCAAATAAGCATTAATAGCCTTATAAGCTGCTGCTGCCGCTCTCCTGTGTTGTCACCACGGTCGCTCTGCTGCTGCTGCTGCTGCTCGTGCTGCTGCTGCTGCTGCTGCTATTACTCCGATTGCTGCTGCTGCTGCTGCATGTGCTTGTCTATCTCTGTCTTTATATATAACACTATTCTTCCCTCTATTATTACTAATAATACCCCTTATACACTTAATTCCTATTATTTATTTCCTTAATAAACAGCATAACTAATAAAGAAATAATAAGCAACGCAGCAGTACCCTTTTCCCCTAATGGTTACAGCACACTGAGGGGGCCCCCAAGGGGCCCCCATGGGCCCCTTACGGTGCACTACACGGCCCCAGGGGGGCCCCTGGAAGGGCCCAAACAGCTCCTAGGTGCCCTCCTATGGTGCTCATACGGGCTCTATAGTGTCTGCAAAAGGGGGCCCCCTAGGGGGGGCCCCTTGTAGGGGCCCCTGGTGGGGGCCCCTAGGAAGAAGGGGGGCCCTGTAGCCTTATTGTTGCCTTCTGTCTGTACCCTTGGGGCCCCCCCCCCCC